TTCTTTGAGTTGCCTCGTAGGGCTCCTTGTAGTTTGATTGTGTATACTGTGCGAACTAATATTCGTAGTTCTCGATACCCCTTTTTTGTATTGCACTGCTGCGAGTGTATGATTTTATTATCTAGTACTTGTGTTGAATAGATTAATCTTGTGTAAGTAACTTGGACTTTTGCGTTTAATTGACTTGTTCCTTTTCTCTTAGATAAGATAAGTGATTGTGCCATGCCGGCGTTGCCTATTTTAAAGCCTTCTCTCGATCACGCGGTGGTCGGTGAGAATTCCCTCTCTTTTGGTGTCGCTAATCAGAGCTGTCTTGTCGATCATGGCGTTGCCAATGAGATTTAGTCTTATTAGTGTGCCCAATCAGAATTCTTCTTTAGTTTATGGTAATTCTAATCACGGCGCCTTTCGAGTGGTGGGGTCTCCCACCAGTGAGTCTTTCCAAGATAGAGGCTCCAATGAGAGCGGGTCTTGCTCAACTCCCTTCCATGATGGGGGGTCCTGATGCCGCACTTTTCCCTCTCCATCCTAGCATTGTTGCATGCATTTCTTATAATCATGCGCGTTGCGATTGATCAGTGTTATCAAGGTTAGGTGTAGCATTGTTTTTGAGTGTATCATCTTGCTTGTGTTTTTCAGGCTAATTTTATGATTTGTATACGCCAGATTTTTTATGATTTGTCGTCGATAGATGCTTTGTGGCGAGGCCGTGTTAAATGTCTCATAGCATTAGTTTTATGACGTGTTTTTGCTGGACACTTGGACCTTTTTTCTCGCCAGATGTGTTTATGAATTGTATTTTCTTTAGATATTCAAAGTTTTGCTGAATTGTTTAGATTTAGTTAATCCGAGGCCCGTTTGAATGTTTATTTCTTGAGTAGTCGAGAGTTGCCTTTTTCGGAACTCTTATCTCGAATTTTCCAGATGTTTAATGAACTGGGAGTTTTCTTACATTCTCGAACATTCCGCCCGCCATCAGCAATTCGAATTGATGATTATTCCTTTCTACTCTTGGGGATTAGTAATACTGACAATTTATGGATGGGTCTTACCATTGTAGTGGAGGCTGTTTTTAGTGTGACGACCCTGGTTAAGCCGTCTTTTCCTGGATGAATTTTTATTACTTTGGCAAGGGGCCATTTGCAAAGTGGAAGGTGCTCTTGTGTAATGAACATCATTGTTCCTACTTCGATATTGTTTTGTGGGTGATGCCATTTAGAGATTGATTGTTGTCGCTGTAAGTAATGTGCTGACCATTGGGACCAGAATCGTTGTACTTGCTGCTGTATGAGTTGCTATCGTGTTAGGTGTGAGACGTTTACATCCTTCAGGGATGGTTTAGGTAATGTAGTAAGAGAGTTCCAATGAGGAAATGACCTGGTGTTAATGCAGAGCAGTCTTCTGGGTCATCGCTTAATGGCTTTAGTGACCTTGAGTTCAAGATAGCTTCGATTTGACTTAATAGAGTAGTTATCTCTTCAAATGTGAGTAAGGTTTCTCCGAGTGTGCGTCTTAGGTGAAATTTTTTGGATTTCACTACGGCTTCCCATTTTCCTCCCATGTGAGGGGCAGCCGGTGGATTGAATTCCCATTGAGTGTTGTCTTGAGAGAGCATGTTGAGAATTCGTTGATTTTTACGAGAACCTTGTAAGAATAGTTTCTTGATGACCTTGTCTGCTCCTAGGAAGGTAGGAAAATCGGCGATAGGCTGAGATGAATCCGTCTGTTGTGTAGTCACTGACTACTTCTAGATGTACTGCAGATCTGGCAAAACACATAAAGACACATATCCATGCTTTGTGTGTTTTTGCTCCTCTTCCCTTCCAGGTTTTTATTGTTAGTGGGCCGGCATAGTCGACTCCAGTGTGATTGAATGGTGGTGATGGCGTTACTCTTGCGACGGGTAATTGTCCCATCAATTGTTGTGCGCGTGTGGCTCGTTGTCGAGCGCATATTGCACAGTGTAGTATATGTTTTTAATAGATTGTCTGCCTCCAAGAATCCAATACTGTTGACGTGTGTGTGCCAACGTGAGTTGTGGGCCTCCGTGCAGTGTGCGGAGATGTGCTTGATTTATTATGAGACTTGATAGTGTGGATTCTCGTGGAAGAATTGCTGGATGCTTTTTATCATGATTCATTCATGCTTGTGATAACCTCCCTCCAACTCTGATAATGCCCTGTAAGTCAATATATGCAATGAGGTGATGAAACGCGTGCCCAGGCGGCAGGCGTGCTTGAGATTGAAGGGTTTTTAATTCGTTTGAGAAGAATGCGGATTGGGTTGCCTTTACTCAACAAATTCTTGACCATTCCGTTTCATTTGTTATTGTTTGAGTTGATCGAGTCATTTTAAGCCTTTTTTTCAGTTGAGTGATGAATTTTATGCATACTGCAGTAATGCATAAGAGTTCGTGTAAGATTGGGTACTTGTCTATTAATTTCCAGTGGTAGGTTGGCTTGATGACTGTGACTGCTAATGCGATGCCAGGACGAACTTCTTGTTCGCATTGTTCATTGATTTGCTCTGGCTGGGTTGGCCATGCATTTGGTGAGTGTATCCAGGATGACCCTGACCACCATAGTGAGTGGGTTTGGAGTTGATCTGTAGTTAGTCCTCGTGAAGCACAGTCTGCAGGGTTCGATGTTCCAGGTACATAGTTCCATTGGGCATCTGATGTGATTTCCTGAATTTGACTGACCCTATTTCTCACATAGTCCTTCCAGCGTGAGGGATGGGATTTTATCCATGCGAGTGTTACTCTTGAGTCTGTCCACAAGTATGTTCCTTTGAATTTTAGTTTTAGTGTTTTCTTGACATAGAGCATGAGTTTTGACAGGAGTAGGGAGCTGTCAGCTATAAATTTTGGAATGGTGAGTCGCTTGATTGGGGCTACCTTGATTTTGGAATATACAAGGGCTATTTTGTTGTCGTTAGAATTGTGTATAGTAAGGTATATGACTGCTCCCATTGCCAATTGGGAGGCATCGGAGAAGCCATATTATTCGATTGTTGATTCGTCTTATGTGTTAAACCATCATGGTATGGTGATTTTGTTGAGTTCTGAAAGATCCTTTTTTATGGTACGCCATCTTAGTGAGATTTGAGTGCGAAGCGGATCGTCCCATCTTATTGTATGTAGCCATAATTCTTGTAGTAGTAGTTTCGCCTTGATCACTACTGGTGATACAAAGCCTAATGGGTCAAAGATCTTTGCAATGTCCGATAGGATTTTTCGTTTTGTGAAACAGTCCATGTCAGCTGAGACCATTGTTAAGAAAGTGAATTTGTCCTCTTGAGGACTCCATTGTAATCCGAGAATTTTGGTTTTGCAATCGTCAAATTCTATTACTGAGTCTTGTGTTTTGTCAGCATTGATAGCTGTGAGAATGTCTCTGTGAGATGAATGCCATTTTGCTAGTGGGAAGCCGCCCGCCATACAGAGATATTGAAGTTGTAATGCGGTTTCTTGTAATTCTTGTGGTGTATCTGCACCTCCAAAAATGTCGTCAACATATCTACCGTGAAGTATTGCTGGTAGTGCTAATGGGTACTTTTCACCCTCGTCTTCTACCAGTTGTAGCAGTGAGAACACTGCTAGGAATGGGGCGGCTCGTGTGCCATAGATGACTGTTGTCAACTGATATGGCACTTCCCTGCTTTGATCGTCGATCCATAGGATTCGTTGTAGGTCCCAGTCATCTTTATGTACTAATATTTGTCTATACATTTTTGTGATATCTGTGGCAAACAGGCATCTGTGTTGGCGTATCCAGAGTAGGACGTCTGAGATTTCCTTGTTTAGATTGGCTCCAGTGTGCATGAGATCATTGAGTGATTTTCCTGAGGTTGACGGGCTGGAGCTGTTGAAGACAACTCGCAATTTAGTGGTGGAGCTGTCTGGTTTGAGTGCGCCATGATGAGGTAAATAGTATTTTATTTTTGACTGGGTACCTGTAGGTGCCTTTTTCATGTGGTTTAGATTATCATATTCTGTCATGAATTGTATATATTGATGACGATAGTCTTCGTTCCTTGAAAGTTGTCTTAATAGACTTTGTAAGCATTGGTGAGCAGGGTTATAAGAGTTTTCAAGAAGTTCAATAGGTTCCCTTAGTGAAATTCGTACTATGTATCTTCCTGTCCAGTGTCGTGTATGAGTTCGTTTAAAATGGTCTTCACACCACTGCTCGTCTGGTGTGTATTGGTGTTCGTCTCCGTTGGATACTTCTTCTTGCACCCAGAATTCTGTTAGTAATTCTTGTAGATTTTCTTCTAATTCTTGTATGGATGTGCAGACTACTACTGACGTCATGTTGTTTGTTAGATTGACAGGTCTATTGGAACCAACCATCCAAAGATGGACAATTGGGCTATTGGCATATCTGGGGAGTCCGTCATGATGTCGGGCATAATGATTTGTCCGTAAACATCTGCTCCTAGCACAATGTCTATTGGTCTAGGTGTGAGATATTCGGGGTCGGCTAGTGTTAGGCCATGCAAGTGTGGCCATGCCTGATGTGAAGTTTTGAAGGATGGAAGCATTGTAGTTAGCGTTTTTAGAATATGAGCTGTAACTGTAATAGAGGAATTCGTATGAATTGATTGTAGATTGAGAGATATTGCACCTTGTGCTTGAGTTGATAGTATTCCTCCAATTCCGTGTATATGTAGGATGGAGCGTTGACGTGATAGTTTAAGTTTTCTTACTAGATTTTCTAATAGGAATGTAACTTCTGATCCTGTGTTGATTAGTAGATGAGCTTGTATTGTTGTTTTTGTTGAATGAATTTTTGCTACCGCGGTAGCTAGAAGAGTCGTTATGGAACTTGACCCTGGTGATTTGACGATTGTACCTTCATTTCATGAAGGGTTAGCTGACGTTGTATTATTGCTTGTGGTCGAATTCTCGTTAGTATCTGTATGTAGTAGAGTATGATGCTTCTTGTGGCACTGCATACAGTTAAATTTGCTTTTGCACTCATTTATGTGTCGTTTAAGACAATTGTTGCATAATTTATGCTTTATTATGAATTGTTTGTTGTCATCTGTTTTCATTTTATTAAAGGTTGGACACACGAACAATTTGTGCTCCTTTTGGCAAGAGATGCAGATGTCACTTTGTTTAGTACCTACTTGTTTTTGGTCGAGGTCTGCTTTGATCGATGACTGATGGGCCTTTACTGTTCTTTTTTTTGTTGGGATAGTTTTGCTTGGGCGTGATTGCCTTTCTTGATACTCTAGTCCCTCGAGGGCTGTCACTTGGGACATGAGGAATGTTTTGAGTTGTTCGAATTTAGGGTGCTCTGGTTAATCGCCTAGTGTGCGTTCCCATTGTGTTTTTGTGGTGTCATCAAGTTGCTTAATGACTTGATGTATGATGAGACACTCCCATACGTATATGGCCTTGTCTAGTAAATGCAGTCTGCTTAGAAGGTGGCTTGCCTCACTCACCAGTTCCTCGATTTCTCGAGGTGTTTTCTTAATTGTAGCTGAGGGGGTAAGCAATTTGTGAAGATAGTACCTCATTGCCTGTCGAGGATTGTCATAGCGATTAGTTAGGTTTCTCCAGGCAATTGGGAGTGAATCATTTTGTAGTAAAAGTCCGGAGACGGGCCTTGCAGATGAGCCCACTAATAATTCTCTGAGGTAATGAAACTTTTTTACCTCACTTATTGTTTTATAGTCTAATACGATTGATTGGAATAAACCCCTGAACATTGGCCGTGCTAAGTAGTCACCTGAAAATTTAGGAATAGTTACGTTAGGTAAATTAATTGCATCATTGTTTTGATTGGCTGAATTCACAGTTTTGGATTGTCTTATAGTTGATTGTGTCGTTTCATTGAGGCTGTGAAGAAGCTTGCTGATTGTGATATGTGCATTTGAGTAGGTTTCAAGTTCTTCGCCTTGTATATTGTTTATAAAATAGTTATTATTGATTAGCGCTGCTGGCCATGTTTGCGTTTAGTTGTGTTTATGAATTGTATTTTCTTTAGATATTCGAAGTTTTGCTGAATTGTTTAGATTTAGTTAATCCGAGGCGCGTTTGAATGTTTATTTCTCGAGTAGTCGAGAGTTCGCTTTTTCGGAACTCTTATCTCGAATTTTCTAGATGTTTAATGAGCTGGGAGTTTTCTTACATTCTCGAACAATGTCATTGCCAAATGCCGAAACAAGCTCTATCATGGTTTATTCTGATTTCAAATTCTGATATTTCCTTATTGGTGTTTTAACTTCTCCTGGTATCATTAAACAGATTAGTAATGTATAATTATTTCTGTTGTAAAGTTTTTATAAAGTAAATCTTGTATCATTTTTCTAATGTATGAATAAAGATGTAATAAAAATCGAGACATTAGATTAAAAATTAATTGTTAATATGTCAGGTTCATGCACTTTATTAACACCGTTAATTTGTATTGACAATTAAAAGATAATAGAAAGATAAACTAATCTATTTAAATCTTATTTTAACACCATATATAGTTGATCTAATTGATATTTTCAAGCTTTTAAATATTTAGACTTGTGTAATACTGTTGTATTTTCAGTCAATTGATGTATGTGTTCGGATTTAAAGGGTTAGCTTATGGCTCGAACTGCCAATTCAATAGTTCAGTGGATTAGTCTCTCGGCAGGATAATTTTAAAGGAAATCAATAACGGACCAGGCTGAAAAATATAATATATTTATTTTAAATACAAGGTTTAATGAGTGTAAACAATTGTAATAATATTGCACTGTTGTGTAGAGATAAATAATTCTGTTGGATTATTCAAAATATGTGTTCTTGTGATTTTTCTGCTATAAAGGCTTCTTTGGATATTGCTGTGTTGCTTTGAGGTTATGCTGATGTTGTCAATGTCAGCTGATGTCGTCAGTCAATCATGCTTGTGAGGCAGCATGAGAAGATGGTAGTTGAATCAAGTATGCTTGATTGATGAATAGCTATACTTGATGAGTTGTTAGATCTTAAATGGAATTTATTATGTAATCAATTATGTCTTTAATTATGTAAAAGGGACAGCAGTAGAATCTAGTCACAGGAAAAACAATTAGAAGTAGTATTTCTAATTCGTGGAGGATTTGATAATCCGTATCTGTAGAGTCTATTAGTCGATCTGTGTTGGTCATGTGTAACCAATGTGTGTGAACCACAGTGACTCTTGCGTCAGCTGTTCAGGGCCTGCACGGCTCCGAAGTGTTCTTCGGACGAGCGCTAGTGTGCCCTGTTTGTGCTAGCGGGCCTGTACGATGTCGAACGGTTAGTTCGAGAGAGCGTAAGTGTGCCCTGTGTGTGTGCTAGCGGGCCTGTACGATGTCGAGGGTTAGTTCGAGAGAGCGTAAGTGTGCCCTGTGTGTGTGCTAGCGGGCCTGTACGATGTCGAGTGGTTAGTTCGATAGAGCGTAAGTTTGCCCTGGTTCTGCTAGCGGGCCTGTACGATGTCGAGGGATCAGTTCGAGAGAGCGTAAGTGTGCCCGATCGACAATAGAGAGAGATGTGACTTGTTTATTTATTAATATAAAGATGTACCTGGTGAACTGCAGGTTGGATGGATTCGATGCTGTGTATGTAATGTTTCCCTTGATTACAATTCCATTGGCTTCACTGTAATCACTTATTAAAGAATTGCCGATTATCTTTTCTATGCACGCGGGTACTCTTTACTATGCTGCCGAAAATGTGGCCACGCGGCGTCTTTACAGTATACTATGCACTGACCGGCAGTTACGCTTGATGGAGAGCGAAGTGATTTTACGAATGAGCGTCGCCTCATGGCGCGTTGCGCTTAAATGTGCATGCGGCGTCTTCAGCGCCGGCAACAGTGTCGATGCGCGTCCCTTCCAGAAATTTTCCTTTGGCGTGAGAAAACGAAGCTTCTAGAAGTTTCGAAGGCGTCCCTTTTTTGTGAGTGCTGGCAGTAAATAATATTTCAAATCGTAAACTTGCTCGGACTTGCCGAGTTTTGTTTGTAAACATTTTCTCGAGTGCCCGCCTCGGTCCGCACGCGCGGATCAGCCTAGGCGCACGTGCGGTACGCCGGGCTGCGTGTATGACCTTTCTTTTGTTTGAAGTTCATGGGACTGCTTCAATCCCGAACAGTATGAGTGAATATATTCTCTTTCTTTTCATCATTTAGATCATTACTTAAGGTAAATATACTCTGATTTACCAAAAGGCCAAGAATCAATTTTAGTAAGTTTTTAATAATGTATTTCTTCAAAGTTAATTAAAAATTAAAATATATTTCATTCGAAATTTTAGTACTAATAATAGAATATTCAAAATAAGATAATTTCAGTATATACAATATTGTTAGTATAAATTTCAGTATAAACAATATTTGAATTAAAATTAAAACAATATTTTCACTCATATAATCATAAATAATTTAACTACATTAAATTATTCGATTTTAAATAAATTTGTTTATATTATTGACAGATGGAGACATATTATTCATGAATTGTTGAATCTTATGTGTTAAATCGAAATTTAAAATGTAACATAAATAATATTTATTAAATATAAAAACAGACTGCTTGAACAAATAAAGTCATATATATTCACACACACACACACACACACACACATATAAATATGTATATATCAATTCATTCGTTCATAAAAATTTTATTTTTTTATAAAACTTAATTAACATATTTGTATAAAAATTAACACTAATCCGGCTCAGGAATGAAACGCGTAGAATTAACTAAGAAAACCACGAGATGTTGTGGGAGAATGCGAGGGCGAGTGGATGGATTAATGCACTGATTCAATAATTAACACATATAATTCTTATTGCTATTTATTCCATTTATTTTCAATTTATTTCCAATTTAGGGATGATTAATCGTGATGAGATTACAAATGACCTTTATTTTTCTCAATAATCATGTGGCGTTGTGATATACTTTTATTAGAGAACTAGAGGATGATAAATTCCTTATTCTCTGGATGTAACTGATGAGATTATGATTTACTGTGAAAGAGATAGGTTATAATCTATTGAATATTACCACTTAAGAGGTTATGATTGTTTGTTGTGCTCTGAGCGAACACTACAATTATTGTTTGTGTCTAATCTTAACACGTATTCCAGTTGCCTCTGAATAGTGGGCCCTGTGAGTGAGCACGTGCCTAAGATAGAGGTTAGAGAAAATGTGTGCCACTGTATGGCGCGAATGGCTGGTCTTGCGTAGTGAGCATGCGCGAGAAGCTTCTGTGGTCGGACAGCTTGCGAACCGTTTTCATAGTAAACCGCGAGGTGAAGAATCAACATTAGTGGTAAGGACTTACTTGAAGGT